AGTCAGTTACAGTGAGTGTGTTGTAGGATGTGGCCTCTCAGTGGTGGTAGACAGGGCAATCCAGTGTTTGATGAGACCTCCCTTAATTGTCTTTAATACTGCTGCTGTTTCCTATATTGCAAAATGCAGGACTTTTATTGCCATGTTCAGAGCAGAAGAATCTCCTTTAATCCCCTCAGTAAAAAGGTCTGCCAACTTGGGGATGTGTTTTCCAAAGAGGCTTTATGAAGATCCTAGATAACCTTGTATAGAGCAGCTACAGTTTCCATCCACCTCTTGTTCGTAGAAAAATCAGTCTACCCCAAAGAACTGCCTTATGGGCATCCCATAGGACCATAAACAACACTTCTGTGGAGTCATTTTCTACAAAATAGTTCTGAAATATGTGTAATATTTTCTGGATTTCAGGATCACTTAAGAGGGCCTTGCTGAGCTTCCAAGTACACTGAATAGGTTAATAGAATTTATACCAATCCACAGAACATCTCTAGGAACTGATTTCCACATATTTATTACTTCTATTGTAAAAACCCCTTCTGTTGTTGAAAGTAAAACTCTCCAAGTCTCAAAGGATGACCTTTCTGCATTGCTGATAACCACGGAACACATTATATTTGTATAATGTTATCGTACTCCCTCTAGCACACCTTTTTTTCCAGGGTAAAGTATTACAACATATCAAGTATTTCATCATTCTCTGTTTTCATTTTGTAGCTTCCCACTTCCATAAGTATTTTCCAGTTCCAGAACTTTTGGACAACTGGAACTAAAATGAGATAGCAAATTAAGAACCGAGTCTTACCTTTGATTCATATAGAGATATTGTATTTTCCTTCCCTGAGTCAAAATGCAGACTTATAACTTCATAGTTCTGGCAGTCACAAATTGACATTGCACACACTTGCCAAGTTTATTATCGGGAATTATTCATCTCTCTCACGTAATGATTTTCCTAAAGCAACTACACCTGAAGGCAGTGTTTTTGCTCTCAAAGTGCATGGCATGGTTTGCTCACCTGGCACTCACCTGCCCCACCCAGTGATTCCTCCAAGATACTTTGGAGATAAACTACATTCAGAACAGACTATACTACCTAATCAAATTTTGTATCATGAACGGATTTTGCAAGAGTATTAATAAACAGACACATCAGCAAAATCTCAACAAATCACATCCATTGCTGATTTATAATTTTTCTTTATAGAGCACAATTATCTTTTATAAAACAAGGTTGATGTCAACTAATATTAATGATTCCTGGCCAGCTTAGCTATGTCAGATTTTAATGGGTTTTTAATTCTCTCTTCTCTTTTTACAGTTTTTCACTTTACTTGCAATGTCTTCTATATCTTACTGAAAAGAACTCTATTGAACTCTGAAGTTATCTTTCACTCACCGTTGTGAAACATTCTGAAAAAGATTATCTCTTTAAAGAGACTTTGAAATCCTTCAACTTACCCCAGCAGTCATACTTTTAATATACATGCAGACCTATCTATAGATACCTATGGTTTACATAAGGCTTCCCCGAACTCCGGCCCTCCAGATGTGGCTGAACTACAACTCCCATGATTCTATGAATGAAATAGATAGGCTGAGAATCATGGGAGTTGTAGTTCAGCAACATCTGGAGGGCCAGAGTTTGGGGAAGCCTGGTTTACATCTATGATACTGGTCATCAAAATATCCCTAAACATACTTCTTGTTTGCCCAATCACCCTTTAGACACTAAGCGCGTAGGTATGGCTCTGTAAATCTACTGTTGAATGATTTGTTTCTGACTGGCATACTAAGTTTTTCTATATTCTTTGTTATATTCTTTACTCAGCTCGGGAAATGTATTAAAGTGCTCTGTTCTAAAAACCGGCTAGGTACCTCTGCTTCCTGGCTGCTTGCAGGGACTCTGTAACGCTTCTGCCCCAGATGCCACAGCTTCACGGAGGTCCTTCTGGAGATTTTGCACACGCCTAGGCAGCAGCTCTACTTTCAGGCAGTTATCGTCCCCTATGCCTATTCCGCTGCAGCCCTTCTTCCAGGCAGGTATCATCCCCTCTGCCTATTGCACAGCAGCACTGCTTACAGTGATTATAGTTATTGCCTTTACAAATGCATCTGTGGCATTCAGGCCTAGCAAACAGGTCCAAAAACTCTGTCACTAGGCTCCCTACAAATCCACAAAGTTCCAAAAGTAACTGACATGCAAAACTGTAGGGACTAAACTTGGGACTAACCTACTTGATCATGACATTTAGATTGCTGTGACAAACAATAAAATTCAAATAACCAAAATATGTCACAAAATGTACAGGAAAATATAATAGCATAATAACATATTTCTAAAGGGATGGGACGATAATAATTAACAGAAAATATCTCTCCTGCCTGCATAATTAGCAATATGCAAATCTACCCGAATATGCTTTCTGGGGTTGGTCTTGTTCTGTTTTACTTCATAGTTAATCCATCTAATTGCAATTACAAACTTAATACGAGATGTAAATTTAAACTAAACATAAAAACACATAATCCCATTTATTTCGATTCAATATAAAACTTGTACATCACATGGTAAAAGCTCTAACTCCCCTCATTTGTTTTTTAAACTTTTGGCACTCCCCCCAATTTTTTAAAACCGCCAATTGTGACTATAACTATTGTAACAAAAATAATATATAACACTGTCGCTGAGGAGTAACACAGTTACTAAATGGAATTGTAGGACAAACAAGTTCATATTGGTGTGATAGTTAATTGTCCACATTCCTTTGGCCATATAGTGTATATAATGGCAGGTAAAAAAAATCTCATTGCAGTTACTGGTTTTATTTTTCCATCAGCAAAAAGAGAGAATATGGTCAACCTATAATGCAAACCATCCAGTTACATGTTAAAACAAATTCTGAAAATATTATCAACAAACTGTGTTAGGGAAATATCACACTCCTTATCAGATTTTACACCACCTGCAATATATTATATTTTTCCACAGTATTAGTCATGTTCCACTGCAAAAAATATATATTTGCTCAAGTTACTTCATTACCCTTAACCACATTGTGTAAGTGACAGGTCACTTCCATTTTTACAAGAGCTATCTTTATTTTAAAGAACATTAGGTATATGTCCACACACAAATAACCCTTAATATGAGTAATGATAATTACTTAATAATTTGTATTAAATAGCATTTAGTATGTTTAAGAACTGAGAGTTTAATGTTGAGAAATTAAGTACAATGAAGAAATGTATTTTGTGTTTTGAGAAAACATTTTTGAAAGAGTTTGGTGATGCTAAAATCCAAAGGAATAGAAGATTTGTATAGCCAAAGACTGACGAATCTATTTTAGTTATGCAGAGTTGAGGTCTGATCTTTCTTTTCTTCCTATTATTACACACAAATCTAAACCCCTTTCGGGTTATATGATATGCTTATTGCTAATAGTGCTCACTGAAAATAATGATATGGCAAGTATTGGCTGAAAAGTTCAAGATTCTCCTGATGAAAGCTCACTATGCTTGTTTTGTGGGGGTCTCTCTTGGTGTAGTAGGCACCTAGGTAAACTGTTGGGGGGAGGGTGGGGAAGGAACTATGTACTTATTGTCATAGGCGTGCGCAGCCTATTGCATAAGGGTGTGTACCTTAAAGCACAAACACACACGCCATGTATATATATATATATATATATATATATATATACACACACACACACACACACATACACTGCTGTGTGTGTGTGTGGGTGCTGTGTGTGTGTGCTGGTGCTGTGTGTGTGTGAGGGTGCTGTGTGTGTGAAGGTGGTGTGTGTTTGTGAGGGTGCTGGGTGTTTGTGAGGGTGCTGGGTGTGTGTGTGTGTTTGTGAGGGTGCTGTGTGTCAGTGTGTAAGGGTGCTGTGTGTGTGAGGGTGCTGTTAGTGTGTGTGTGTAAGGGTGCTGTGTGTGTCTGTGTGTGTGTGTGTAAGGGTGCTGCGTGTGTAAAGGTGATGTATGTGTGTGTTTGTTTATGAGGGTGCTGTGTGTGTAAGGGTGCTGTGTGTGTGAGGGTGCTGTTAGTGTGTGTGTGTGTGTATGTATGTGTAAGGGTGCTGTGTGTGTATGTGTAAGGGTGCTGTGTGTGTAAAGGTGCTGTATGTGTGAGGGTGCTGTTAGTGTGTGTGTATGTATGTGTAAGGGTTAGTGTGTGTGTAAGGGTGCTGTGTGTGTAAGGGTGCTGCGTGTGTAAGGGTGATGTATGTGTGTGTGTGTGTGTTTGTGAGGGTGCTGTGTGTGTGGGTGCTGTGTGGGGAGGGACATATATGTATTTATATTGTGCTCCCCCTGCACAGCTCCATTATCTATTATACTTACAGTGCTCCCCCTGCACAGCTCCCTTGTGTGCAACTTGTGAACCCAGCAGCCACACTGGGCCCCAAAGAGATGATCCACACCAGCTCTACCAGGCACACGTAACGAGGCTGGGTATTCTGCAATTTTGGGATTTCTGTAGGAAAAACAAGTCTTATGGCTTGACTGGTGTGCATATCTATGTTTAACATTGTATTAACTATAAACATATATATATATATATATATATATATATATATACTGTATGTGATTATGTATGTGTGTGTACATGTCTCTCCCTTGTTTGGTATCCTTAAACACAGCAATTTAATTTTGCTATTTATTATATAAATATCTCTAATATACATTTAAAAGATATATACAAGTAATAAGAAAAGCCTGTAATTTTAATAGTTTGGCTGTTTAGAAGATAACTCCCTAATTTGCTATTCTTAGATGGAATTGTCAAATTTATGGATACCAAATTAAGGAGCTGTTTAGTGGATAACTCAATTTTATGATATCCATAAATATGGCAATCCCGCTTAATTATACCGAATTTGGAAGAAATCTAATAATCTTCATTTTTTTTTTTTTTAGCTGTGTTGAGGATGATGGCCCTCCATTCATTTACAGATAAGGCATTTGACCCTCTTGTGGAAAAAGTTGCTGACCCATGTTTTAAATCAGGGCTGTCCAACCTGCGGCCCCCCAAAATTTGCTGAACTACAACTCCCATGATTCTTTCAATTAAAAAGATAGCCAGGGAATCATGGGAGTTGTAGTTCAGCAACATCTGGGGAGCCGCAGCTTGGACAGCCCTGTTTTAAATAAAGGGAGGTATTGAATGAGGGGGTGGTCAGGAAAGGGGTGTGGCCTGGAAGATGAAGATTTTCTGCACGTGCCTATGCAGATTTCTGCAGGATCTCTGTGATTTTTGCTTCTGAGAATGATCTTTATTTCTTTGTATTTATGTTTGTGGAAGACCATTTACAGAAAACTGCTAAAAAACAAAACAAAATAAAACAAAACAAGGGAACCAGGGCTGTCTCAGAGTCATGTGCTTTCCATGCCTGCCTTTATCATCATGAAGATTGAGTTATTCTTTCACTGCTCAGGGCAGACTCGTAATGCCTAATAAGCCTTTCATGGACAAAGGGATGAATCAGGAGCACTTGATTTTTGCTATAATGATGTGTCTTGTGCACACCCCTGCTTAAAAGTATTCAAACACCAATAGGTCATTATATGAAAAGACTGCTGGCAAATAATTTAAAGGCATCAAAAAAGCTTTAGCTTAATAAAGTAGTTTTTATGTATAGCTCATGCCCCCACAGTCTCACTGCTCAAAACTCTGCCATTTAGCAGTTACATTGCTTTTGTTTCTGTTTATATAGCCCTAGCCACACGTCCCCGGCTGTGACTGACACAGCCTGCATACATTTTTTTAAAATGGTTTTACTTTCAATCAGATGTTTACGTGCTTTAGAAGTTTTGATCTCCTGCTCTGTAAATTGAACTTTAATCACACATTGGGTCTGGAAGGCTTTTAACAGAGCAGGATATACAAAGTTGTAAATTAAACAGACTGTGTAATACATAGGAGGTGCGACTAGGCTACATAAACAAAGTGATTTAACTCCTTAATGGCAGATAAAAGAGCAGTAAGACTCAGGGGCAAGTTGTTTTGGTGCCTATAGTGTCCCTTTAACACAGAACGCTAACTGTAGCTTAGTCTGCCTGCTCAGTCTTGTGGTAAGGCCTTTCCCCCAGTACTAAGTTTTTAATGAAGTATGTAATTCATGCTTTAAAAAATATAAGAATCCATCCAGAAGCATTCTTTATCCCTTTCACTACCAAGTTCTTTCCATTTACAACATTTCCCCAAACATTTATTAGAAACATGAGCTGCTTAGACAGGATAGATTTTTTTGTATAGTTTACAGTTGCTTGTTCAATATTCTTAAACAATTCCTCCATCCTTCCTTCTTCCTCCCTGGCTGCTACAATGTAGCCATGAAGTTAACACTATAGCTTCAGCTGTAGGGCAAGGGCATAGTTGATAGACAATTTAGCACTGTCCGAGTTTGTTTCTGTGAAGGGTGAAAACAAACAGCGGAGCTAAGGAGGAGGTAAGTGGTGTTTTATAGGACAAATTCCCTTTTGCATTATTTTGCAATGTGAAAAAAGTTAGCCAAGTATTTCAGTCTTGCAACATACTGCCCACTAAAGCACAAAAGATCACTTCCGTCTGTCAATTCTGCAAATTATGCTTAACTATACACAATTATATCCCTGCCTTGTGTATCAGTGTAGATATCTCAGCGATGCATCTGCTCATATTACATGAATGACCTCTGGCACATCTCAACATCTGGTGAGCCAGTTACTTCATTTGTGTTTGATTTGTACACAATATTAGTGAAGTGAAATAAATCACTCTTAATCATATGTTTATTTTCTGCTGTTTTCCAAACATTTCATCTAGAACACAATTTGCAAATTTGTTTTCTTGCCAGAATGGTATAAAATGCGTTCCTCTTTCAGCTGCGTGAAACACATTATGGGATTTAGACAGTAAAATCTGTTCTTTTGCTCTTACAATTAGCCAGCCCCATTGCTCGGTTATTATTAATAGTTATTTATAAAATGTGATGTATTCAGCTGAGCGGTGCGATAGGTAAACAAAGCATGCAAGTATTTGGTTACATAACATATGTTTAGAAAAGGCCCTTACTTTAGATTAAATAATGCGGGGTGTAGTTACACAAGAATTAAAGGTACAGATGTACGTGATGATTCAGCCACATTTACATCTCTAATAAGGAAAATGTATTTCTAAGTGGGTAATATGTATCCAATTAAAATTGGAAATGTATACATACTATGTTGCACCTATGTAAATGATAACAATAACTAAGTATATATAAAGTATTTGTCACTTGATTATATATAAATTTCCTTTTAGAGATAGTGTAGTAAAACATTCATTCCTGGCAATTATGGGAACCTTTGGAGAAAGGTTCTGGTTAAGAACATGTCCTAAATCTCCAGTCACACAAATGTTGGGTAGGCATGTTATCGAAGGTGTATTTTGCATATTACATGAGCAGTATCACTCTGATTTCTTGAGTAGCTTCTGAGCAGAAGAGGTGGAATACTCACAAGAAGCATGCATCCCCTCCTCATCCTTTTACCAGCAGTGGAAAAGTAAAAGTATTGTATAGTCCAGACACACTGTTCTTCCATCCTGTGCTATTGTAAATTTAAGGACTGTTTGCTCATGATTTTTCTATCAGTTAGAAACATAGAAACATAGAATGTGACGGCAGGTAAGAACCATTCGGCCCATCTAGTCTGCCAAGTTCACAGCTGGTAGGCAGCAAGGGTGCAGAAAATCATCACCCACATCATTAATGACTTTGAGGATACCCACACAAACATCCACGCCAGTGAAGCAGCTCTACCTCTCCGCAGACAGCAAAAAACATGCTTTTTAAAAAAAATTCTTTATTTTTGGACCTCCGAAGCAAAAACAGTGCTAAATACAGATAAAGCACAGAAGCTTTGGATCGGTTATACATCAGGCTGGAATTAGTCACTATATTATGCATTGTACAGTAGGTATTAACAATGGGGATGTTAAAGGTAAAACTGGTACCGGTTATAACACTGGTATTCTACTCCCATGCAATAGTTTGCATTCTTCACTTTTTTTAGACCATGGTATTCAAAATAACAAAGAACAATGTAAAGCAAAGTATACAAAAATTAATTTTAAAAAAAACCCTAAACAGCATCAGTTGTGACACGCCATGCATTTCACATGCAGCAAGATCAACAAATGGTTTGCAAGCAAAATCCCATGGTTCTGACATGAACACTATATGCAAAATGTGTGGTGTCTGAAAATAAATATAAAACACAGATTTTCCTGGATCCCTTTCTTACAGTTCTATTATGTACTGCATGATGCTGTATCTTAAATTAAAAAGAGACATAAAAAAACACAAATCACATGGAAATTGCTTACAGACCCAAATCAGGCTGCTTCGAATATGGTTTAGGGGGGCATAGTGTCTTGTAGTACACTGGAGACAGTGAGAATGGTATTAGCTAAATCTATTTATACATAATGGTGTCCTGTGAAGAATATGGATAGTAAACACAAGTCTAAAAATTGTCTTATATGAAGCTGTTTGATGAAACCACACAGATATTGCTTGCTGAATCTGCCAAGCTTGTACCAGCTCAGAATCAAGAAACAAATTACCCAGACCATACTACACTTCAAGCAACAAGTAGTGATATATTACAATGTCAGTTAACAGATAACAAAACATTCTAATAGACAATTAAATGTTAGCTATTAGTTATACTTTTATTTATTTTAAAACATGTTTATTAATGTACATTAAAGAGACACATACTCACCATCACCAACTACAGTTTATTCCAGTTATTCTGGTGAGTATAGTCTGTCTCTGCAGCCTTTTTAATTAAACAGTGCCTTTTCAGAGAAAAGGCAGTGTTTACATTGCTCCCTAGGGACACCTCCAGTGGCAACTTCTAAGAAGGCCACTAAAGGGGCTTTCTGGGTCAGTGCTGCATGTTCAGCATCTCCAACGCTCCCCATAGAGATGCATTAAGTCAATTCATCTCTATGAGGAGATACTGATTGAGTAGGGCAGGGTTTGGCCCTGCCCCCTCACCCCACCTCCTTGGCTGAGATTGTCAATTCTGATAATGTCAGCCAAGAAGGCAGATTGGGGGTAGGGTCAGCATCGGCTGACCCACACAGTGCTGGAAGCAAGGTACATTTCCTCATGATTTAAGTGGGGGGGCAAGAACCCCACATGTGGTTTTAACATTATAGGGTCAGGTATACAGGTTTTAACACTATAGGATCCAGTTACTTAAAATACAATGTGCAGGTTCTTGCACACATAGGAATCCAGAGCAAATGACTACTATTTTATTATTCCATGCATGTGATCAGGCATGCATCATGGGGATATAATGCCTGTTGCTCATGTACAAGTAAAGCATGTTGGGAAGTTGGTGTGACTGATCGCTCAAAGATACTTAATTCAATTCTATATACATCAACTAACTAACTGCTGGTTACTGAGGTGAGTGAAGGAGGAAATGTAACTAACAAAAAGGAAGTAGTTCTTGTTTGTACACTTCTAGGACAGTGCATGCAATGTTTCTGTTTTGTGTAAATTATGGAAGTAACTAAATATGTAGTACCTAAAGAACATTCTCCCGTTTTCTTGTTTCTGAAAAAAAAAAATTGCTCAAACTGAACTATGTGCTGTATACGCAACTATATATTTTTCATTATAACTGGTGCATTATTTCATTAAAGCAGAGAATGAAGTAATCTATCAGGTTATGCAGTAAGCTCAAATGGGACAGATGTGCTTTGAAATATAAATACTTTTTAACAGTTTGAATGATTATCTAGGAACTTTGAATTTACCTATGAGTTAGAAAATTCACATATATGAGGGCAGAAAAAAACCCCCTAAGTTAGCAAATTGCAATCAAACTTGGAGTGTAAAATAGTGATGTTTAAATACTTTTCAAAAATTCTAAAATAAAGTTTTCCTTACTAAAAAAAAAATAGAAATATATAAAACTAATTAATAAGCTAAATCTTTTTTAATTATTTGCAATGATAGATGATAATTTTGGTAATATTTTTTTCAAATAGTATTTGTGGTAATTTCTTTTTCATTGTATGAGAATGTGACAATTACTCTACCTTTATCTTTTAATTTCACTGTACAGCTCTCTTCCGCTTAAGAAAAATGTGTAAATTTCTCAAGCCATTCTGTGAACAAAGACCTACTGATAGGCTGAGAGCGTCAATATAACAATATATTCTAACTTATAATATACAACAATGTAATAACCTATAAAAACAAAAGAATAAAGAATCTAAATAAATAAATGAAAAGGAGACAATATATGCATACTTGAGCAGAGATATTAAAGTGTCACCACCATAAGAAAAGTATGCAAGAATATCATAACCTTTTTTGTACTAGAATAAAACAGTTTCAAAATCTTTATTGCTCCAATTGAATCTAACAATATGAAATTCAAATGATGTCATTTACTAACTAATGGTGGGTGTATTAATTTTACCCAACAATAACATCAATACAACACAAAGAAATCATTTGTGCTCCAAATTCTTTGAGAATGAGTAATGCCGCCTTTTCAACTCTCCATGAAGAAGAAGTAGCATTGGTGACTCACGCTATTATTCCTTATATATTAAACTCTGAATTCTTGCTTAAGTGTCAAATTTCAGAAAAAGCAGCTCAGTGAAGAAGACATGGCTGTGTGGAATAAGCTGCAACTAACCAATCTGTCTATCCTTCTGCCAGAAACGATTTCTCCAATGTAATTGGAATATTATAAAACAGCTGGATGTCATGCTATTAATAATTGTTAAACTGAAGTCTATTTACCCTCTGACCATCATTAAATATGTAATGATAGAACACATGTACTAAGAATGCATTTAGTTTACACGCATTCTAAACTATTATATCTGTGTGTGATGTGTGCAACTGTTTGCATGTGTCTGTGTGTGTCTGCGTATGTAACTGTATGTTACATAGTGTATATAGTGTATGTGTTTGTGAGCACCTGACTGCTGTGTGACTGCATCTATCTGAGTCATGTAGACACAGTCACACAGTAGTCCGGTGCACACAGTCTAACTACATAAACAGTGAGACACTACACAGATAATTACAGCCAGGGATGGACTGACAGCCTTCTGGGCCCCCGGACAAAATTAGACGCAGGGCCCTTCAAAGACAAAATATTAAAGGAGCACTATAGTGCCAGGAAAACAAACTCTATAGTGCCAGGAAAACAAACCCTCAGGGCCCCCCTCCCGCTGGGCTGAAAGGGTTAAAACCCCTTCAGTCACTTACCTTTCTCCTGCGCCGGGCTCCCTCTGTGCTAGGGAACACTCCTCCCTCTGCCGACGTCAGATTCTAATGTGCATGCGCGGCAAGAGTATACTTTCCTATGGACTTCCAACGTCTTCTCACTGTGATTTTCACAGTGAGAATTGCGGAAGCACCTCTAGCGGCTGTCAGTGAGACAGCCACTAGAGGCTGGATTAACCCTCAGTGAAACATAGCAGTTTCTATAAAAAAGCTATGTTTTCAGCGGCAGGGTTAAAACTAGAGGGCTTAAAGGTAGGTAACCTTTCACACACACTGCACCCCTCACACATTGCACCACTCACACATACCACTGCTCCTATGCCCTACTACAGCCTTATATCCCAGCAGATACCAGGTAAGTTGTCAAACTGTTCTTAAATGGTTTGACTACTTACTTCAAAATTATTTTTAACATTTACTTAGTCCTTAAAGGCACCCAACCACTTCCGCTCAATTAAGTGGTCTGGGTGCCAGGTCCCCCAGGTTTTAACCCTTCAGATGTAAACATAGCAGTTTCAGAGAAACTACTATGTTTACGCAGAGTTAATCCAGCATATGGTGGCTGTCTTCCTGACAGCCGCCAGAGGCGCTTCTGCAAAGCTGGATGCGAAAATTGCATTCAGCTTGCAGAACGTCCATATGAAAGCATTGGGAAATGCTTTCCTATGGACTGTTTGAATGCGCGTGCGGTTCTTGCCACGCATGCACATTCCGCTCCACTCGATAGCCGACGTTGAAGTGGGAGGAGAGGTCACCAGCGCCAAGGGAGCCCGGCGCTGGATTAAAGTAAGTAACTGAAGGGGTTTTAACCCCTTTAGCGCCAAGATAGAGGAGCCCTGAGGGTGGAGGGGACCTAAGAGTTGTATAGTGTCAGGAAAACTAGTTTGTTTTCCTGATACTATAGTGATCCTTTAAATACTTTCATTAGTCTACGACCTTATCTTATAGTTAGGATAGCATTATGCCTATCCCACGCATGCTTAAAATCCTTTACTGTGTTAACCTCTACCACTTCAGCTGGAAGGCTATTCCATGCATCCACTACCCTCTCAGTAAAGTAATACTTCCGGATATTATTTTTAAACCTTTGCCCCTCTAATTTAAGACTATGTCCTGTTGTTGTGGTAGTTTTTCTTCTTTTAAATATAGTCTCCTCCTTTACTGTGTTGATTCCCTTTATATATTTAAATGTTTCTATCATATCCCCCCTGTCTCGTCTTTCCTCCAAGCTATACATGTTAAGATCCTTTAACCTTTCCTGGTAAGTTTTATCCTGAAATCCATGAACCAGTTTAGTAGCCCTTCTCTGAACCCTCTCTAAGGTATCAATATCCTTCTGAAGATACGGTCTCCAGTACTGTGTACAATACTCCAAGTGAGGTCTCACCAGTGTTCTGTACAATGGCATGAGCACTTCCCTCTTTCTACTGCTAATACCTCTCCATATACAACCAAGCATTCTGCTAGCATTTCCTGCTGCTCTATTACATTGTCTGCCTACCTTTATGTCTTGTTCATATGTTGGCAGCAATATAGGGCTTAGATTTTGTTTTAAATATATTTCAGTCACATTCTCTTCATATATACCCTACTGTCCTGGTTCTCTGTTGTGCCTTGCTTTAATACGTTTTTCAAATGATTCAATATTGTTAGAAAACCTTATCCTTTGATGGTCACTTTTGTAGATAAGCCTTTTGGAAAGCTTTTCTAACATAATTTGTAAACTTTATAAAATGTAGGTCTTTATCATACTGTTTTGACCTAAGTGTAATGGATCTCATGTAATGCTGACAATAGTTCACCAGGAATTTATACCTGTAAATGTTACCATTGAACAGGTTAAAACAAGCTAGGTGTTGGATAATTTAGGTTTATTATATTATTGGCTTAAACAAAACAAAAATCCTAATATTTAGGCCCCCATAAACTCTTACGATGGCTGCAGTATAACTTTTGAAATTATTAAATACTATTACTGAGTGGCTTATTCACTAAACCAACAATTGTGAACAATTGACAAGGGAAATGCACATTTTAGCCCAAAATAGCACAGCTGGGATTGTAAAAAATGCACTTCTCTGGTATTTTTCCACTTCAGCCCTTTTGATCTAAAATTTGCAATTCCCTTGTCAACTTTCCACAATCCCAGGCTTAATGACTGTGTATGTTTCCAAATGACACTGCTATGCAAAACAAGTGGTTTATCTCAGAATTAATTTATTCATTTAAAGCAGTAGGGAATGTAGAAAGGTGATGTTTATAGGTATTTGCACAAATCTGTTTTCAGTATAACACCATCTGCTTACTGGTAGGTGGGTAGCTGTAGATGTTTGAAACTCCCATAAAGAAAGAGAGAACAATTCTAATTATTTGTAATTCCTTCTCTCACACTTTCTCTACCCCCTCACTCTCTATGTCGCTCTCTCACAACAGATAATGTTATGAATGTTATGGATATTTGAAAAATAAAAGGGCTTGCAATGAGTTTTGGTCATAAGTGTGAGAGGCATACAGTCATGGGAAAAAAGAAAGTTCACTCATTTTGAATTCTATGGTTTTACATATCAGGATATTATAACAATCATGAGTTCCTTAGCTGGTCTTAAAATTAGGTAAATACAACCTCAGCTGAACAACAACACATGGCATATTACACCGTGTCGTGATTCATTTAACAAAAACAAAGCCAAAATGGAGAAGCCATTTCTGTCACCACCTCTGGCAATGTCTCTGTTTCATATTGTTGGCCTCTTCAGGGCCATTTAGTTTTTTTCATGCATTCTGTGTGACCACTAGTTGAGAAGATAAAAAACTTATTATTATTTTTATTTTATTATTTATATAGCGCCATCAGACTCCATAGCGCTGTACAATGTAAACTTATAGATCCTGCATCTAAAAAATAAAGAGTCTTCATACTGTGAGTTTAGCTTGAGGTGGAACATAAGGGCTGTGCTGGTATTGGAAGCCTCTGGAAATCTATTTACCCTGATAGCCAGGGCAGGCAAATGGGACAGCTGCCCTGGGCCCAGTTACTCTTGGTGGGAACCAAAGCACCTGCCCCATGGGCCCCACTGCCCTCACTTTTTTCTTCCGACGCAACCGGTGGGCCCACCATTAAGAGCCACCCAGTGGGCATTTGTGAGCCGGTCACACACTGTGGCACTTTAACTGCGCAACCGGGCCCATTGCTTTTTGGCAGCTCTGGGAGGAAGTGACGGCAGCGAGTCACTTTCTCCCACTAAGGAAAGGAACCACTAAGGAAGGGAGATAGAGGAGGCAGGGTGGAGGGGAGCAATCAGTATGTCTGTCAGTGTATGTGTCTGCCTGTCAGTATTTCTGTCAGTGTATGTCTCTGTATGTCTGTCAGTGTATGTGTCTGTCTGTGTCAGTATGTCTGTCAGTATGTTTGTCAGTGTTTGTGTCTGTGTCAGTGTGTATGTCAGTATGTCTGTCATTGTATGCATATGTCAGTATGTCTGTCAATGTATATTTCTGTGTGTGTCATTAAGTCTGTCAGTGTATGTCTCAGTATATGTGTGTCAGTATGTCTGTCAATGTGTATCTGTGTCGGTATGTCTGTCAATGTATGTGTCTGCGTGTGTGTCAGTATGTGTTTATGTGTGTGTGTGTCAGTATGTCTGTCAATGTATGTCAGTATGTTTGTCAGTGTATGTGTCTGTCTGTGTCATTATGTCTGTTAGTGTATGTCCTTTTGTATGTGTGTCAGTATGTCTGTCAATGTGTATCTTTGTCAGTATGTCTGTTAGTGTATGTGTCTGCGTGTGTGTCAGTATGTGTTTATAAGTGTGTGTCAGTATGTTTGTCAGTGTAGGTGTCTGTGTGTGTGTCAGTGTTAGTATGTCTGGCAGGGGGCAGGGCCCAGGGGGCCCAAGCAAATGGTTGCCCAGGGTCCGGTCAATATTGAAAAAGGCCCTGCTGATAGCACATTCAAACAAGAAAAAGCCTCTATTTTTGAGTGTGTCCTCAGCCTGTCCCCAGTTTAAAAAAGGAAGTCCCACAAATGTGTCGATACCTGAGTGTCCACTCTGTCAGCTTAGGCTGCAATTAGTGGCCCCAGACTGACAGATGGGCTATGTTTAGTGCTCAGAGTGAGTGCTGCACATGACCTTTAAATTCTTTTAAATACCCCGTCTGAGAGCGGTCAATGATTTTGAGTCTGTCTGCCGTATGAGGGAAACCCCCCAGGGTCTGGAAAGACACTGGTCATTTCTCTCTGAATGTCCCTCTGCTCATTGATCATTATTTTGTTACATATCCCCACTGTATAATTGTAACTTGCCGAAGAATATGTAGTCATTATGCACATGATGATAATAATGATTATTATAGTGGGGGTGTATAGCCAAGCGGCATGATAGTTACTTGACTCCCTGTCTCCTGACCAAGGCACCAGAATTTTATCCACATCGACAAATAAAGGGACGATTATGTAACAGAAGAAGAAAAACATGATAAATAAATCTTACAGAAACACACTAAACCATTTGTTTCCCTTTTGGAATGAGACAATGGTTTTTTTCATGGATCCACAGATGCTGAGAACACAACCCAAGATGGCAATGCTGCAAGAGTGGGGAGAAGTCAGACATCAAAAACATGCTGCATAATCTACCTACAAGACAATATACCAATTTGATGCTTGGAAAATGTGAAATGGGATTTTACACTGACCTGGAAAAAATTAAAGGTGACATACGACAACAAGAATTCAGTGTCTGGGTCACAGACATAGATAAAGCACTATACTAACAAAGGTGATACAGGTTCAAGAAATGCTACAAGTTCACTCTCAACAGTTTTCCAGGAAGATCTGGACAATTGTGGCAGGAGAAATAAAATCTGCATCAGACGAGTACCTGAGGTTGAGAGGTCTGATATCATTATACAGACACTTATTGCAAAATTCAGCCATATCAAAAACCTGTGTTAAGACCACCACTAGGTCACAGAACCCCTACATAGTGCCATATGGTGTAACTGAGTCCCTAACTGTGTTTGGTCTAGATTCCAAATCTAAAAAGGAATTGGGGGCACATCCAAAACATGTATTTCTAAGTAGTGGTGCTGCCATAAAGGCCAAAATATATAGACAATATTACATCTATGGTGACCACACACACCAAAAAATATATAGTTTAAATGTTAAAATCTACCTATGGCCATAAATCCTTAGAATGATCACCACCTCTCTCTAACCATGGAACATAATTTATGCCCAAGAATTTGAGTGTGGGTAACTGGTGATTATAGGCTAAAAAATGTTTGGCCATTGGTTTGTCTGAAAAAGCATCCCAGTATGCCATCCTTAAAGAGGACCGATGTCCCCAATCCAGTCTCATAGGGCAGTCTCTTAGGGCAAGATCTGTTTTCCCTATATACACTAACTCACACAGACAGGTCAATTTATAAATCACAAATTCCCTTTTGCATGCAATTCTGTGTGGAGATGATGACAAACCTTTGCAAGAACCATGTAACTGCAGGTCACACAAGCTAGGCATCTTAGTGATCCTCTGTTAATGTGTGCAATTGTTTTCTAATAGCAATGAAATGGGTCAGAATGTGCTTGAAATTCTTTCCTCTTTTGTAGCAGATCATTGGAGGATGGTGAAGGCCTTTTGGCAAAGTAGTGTTGTTTTCCACTGTGTTCCAAGTCTTTTGTATAGTATTGTTCATGTTTAGTCTGATGGTTGTGAAGGTAGTTGGGAACATCAATCTTTTATCATTGGTCCTGTTTTCCACTACCATTACAACATTTAATGGTTCTTCTAATGTTGTTTCATTGTAGCCTCTTTAAACTTGCAAAACTGCAAATATGGTAAAGATCGTTTTAAATGTCTTGCATGAAAGCTGGATGCATGTAGGATTGTATTTCTGTCAGTTGGCTTAGTATATAATGTGAAAGACAATTTATTTTGATTTCTAGAAATTCTAACACCCAGAAAGTTCACTGCATCATGGCTTTCTGACAGTGTTAGTTGGATTGGTGTTTTCAAACCATTTATTTCCTCAATCACTGATACATGAAGCCGTTGCCGTATATGGGTGCCATTGCAGCACCAATAGAAGTTCCTATAGTCTGCATGTACTATTTTTTTTCAATACAGAATACATTTTTTGTCAAGGTATGTCGAAGGAGTTCCAAAACGAAATACAAGACAGTCCTCTGACATTAAGGAGATTTTGCTAAATCATTTTCATGGCTTTATATCCTTCGTCGTAGGGGATTATGGTGTATAGACTCTGTACATCACCTGTGGTTAGGGTGACTGTTCCTTTCGGGAGTAGAAGCTGGTCCAATTTGGATAATAAAGACACAGTTTCTTTAATGTACATTGATGACCTTTGAACAGGATCTTTGAAAATAAAATCAAGCCATCTTGCTATGGGCTCTATTAAACCACCACTGACTGTGGGTATTTACGTCTGTCCGTCCGTCTCTCCATCTATAAGATATATAAATATAGATTTATTTTTATACTGCTCCTCCTTTTCTCTCTATTGATCACATCTCACTTTCTCACTTCTGTAAATAAAAACCTAATTTAGTGGCTGTCCTCTACCCATCAATCATCTCCTTGTTTGGCCCTGTGGGCAGAACTCTGAATCCGGAATCAAAAGAACATGGTCATCCATGATTAGTCTATGGCAGTTCAGATATCAGCAATTCGGACAATAACCCTATTGGCCAAATTGCAGCTCATTTTGAAATTAATCTCAAAGTCTATTGTACATTAGCAACCTTCTCACCAAAGCTCACATTGCCATCCTAATACCATGCTCATTGCTCTTTCAACTTCTTGACAAGCGTGTTTCCCCAAATTGGCAAATATATAATGGTGAAAGGTATGTGAATAATCCAAAATATACTTTTGTTAACTTTTACTTAAGCAAAGGTAAACAATGCCAATTTGTTATAACTATTCTGTATATCCTCGAAGATTTTCAAGAAGGTAAACATATTAAGAAGATATTTTAATCTGATCATAGAACTCTCCCTAGATAATTGTTATGGACCTTTCACCATGAATCCCCTCCTGCTTCGGTTTCCTTACTTTCATGTGCAACAATAATTTGTCTTTTTAATTGTAGAAGTATGTACTGGTTGCTGAAATCAGAGATCTCAACTAGCAGTCTTACAGAACCTTATTAAATCAATGGGGAAATGGTGTGTCCTCAGCTGTGCTCAGTAGGTCACCATTGATCAGGCTCCACACTCCTAACTGCTCCTCTGTGGACTGGGCCTGTAAGATTAGAGGCTCCTCCTCTACACACAGAAGGCAGCCACACAAAAGAATGCAAGATCAGTGCAGACCACATCTCTTCTGCCTCAGCCTCAGATACAGTATGGGGCATTCAGGGTCTGAGGAAGGTGCAGTGGACGATAGAAGATAGGCTATAAATATTAGGAGATAGGCTGGGGGGAAGAGAATGAGTTATAATGGTGGTGAAATGAGAGAGACCAAGGGAGAAATGGTGAGTATTAGAAAAATTAGAGAAATAAATGAGGCGGAGGAGAGACACATAGAGATAAATAAGAGAGAGGGAGGAATAATGAGAGTTAGTAATGAGAGAGGGGTAGAGACAACTGAAGAGAGGTGTTGAAACACAAACCAAAATATATCCCTGCATTCATACACACATTTCATGCCTGAATATTTGAAGCATCTCTCTCAGATATGAGTTAGGATCTTGTCACAAACTTTATGTTCTGAAACGCCCATGAAGCCTTGACTTATCAGCAAAATTGCCACACGTCCCCACTAAATAATTTGATTTAAATCTCTGATTTTAGAGGACATTTCAGACATAAGGCCCTTTAGCTTGCTGAAATGCCTTATGTGTGGACAGTGGGTCTTCTTCATTTTAGAAAAGGTGTAGATTTCAAAAGAAATTGGCACTTTTATGAAAGAAACTTTGATACAACCCCTAGCTGTTGATCAGATAACCAGTCCCACTACTTCCTGGTTGTTTAGCTCAGTGGAAGTTAGGAGTGGTAACCCATGAACCTCAAGAGGCATAAATCCCATTTCACCCACAGTTGGATAGCAAATTCACAGAAAAAATCAGGAAGAAGCAATCCTGAACAAGAACTAGATAATTACACTTGGACTTAAAGGACCACTCTAGGCACCCACACCACTTCAGCTTAATGAAGTGGTCTGGGTGCCAGGTCCCTCTAAGATTAACCCTTTTATTTATAAACATAGCAGTTTCAGTGAAACTGCTATGTTTATAAATGGGTTAATCCAGCCTCCAAATCCTCTAGTGGCTGTCTCATTGACAGACGCTAGAGGCGCTTGCGTGATTCTCACTGTGAAAATCACAGTGAGAACAGGCAAGCGTCCATAGGAAAGCATTGTAAATGCTTTCCTATGAGACCGGCTGAATGTGCGCGCAGCTCTTGCCGCGCGTGCGCATTCAGCCGAAAGGGAGGATCGGAGGCGGAGAGGAGAAGGAGAGCTCCCCGTCCGGCGCTGGAAAAAAGGTAAGTTTTAACCCCTTTCTCTCCCCAGAGCCGGACGGGAGGAGAACCCTGAGGGCGAGTATGTTTTCCTGGCACTATAGTGGTCCTTTAACTGATCTAGAAGCTCCACTCAACTGATTTCCTTTCTACATTTACAGACCACTGTTGGGGAAGAAGAGATCATACCGAGAGGAGAAGGAAAGCTTCACTTAGCAATACTGTAGTGATCCTTTGCCATACAAAGCCTGTTGATAAAATGTTAAGGAAGCAGAACATGTGTAGTACCATTAGCCCTTATCTAATTTGGAGAAAATAAACAGCACATTTTGTGTATAGTTTGCTTTATTTCATAGAGATATAATTACACTGTTGACATAAACATTGTGATGATGTAGAAACATTTCACAAGACCAGCTGTGAGTAGTTCAGACATTAATATGTGAATATGAAATACAACACAATGTGGGATAGACATAAAAAATAAAAAATTAATTAGTTTTATTTTTTATTAAATTAAAAATAAATGTACATTTACATAATTTTTATTTTTCACTTATTCATTCAGCCTATACAAAATATTTGGGAAATGAAAGACGCTAGAGAGTATTCTGTGTCCATTATCTTACCTAACTGTAGGTATAATAGGGCCTATTAAAACTCCCATTACTGTTTGGAACCATGGGGTGAGCTGACATTTTCAACAAGCTTGTAGCCATTAAATCAGTAATTTAAGTGTGAGTACTGAGGGGGAATGAGTCATTAAGGACTAATTTTTTTCTGCAAAATTCATGAAAGTAACAATGTTTATTCTCGATTCTAGCCATGAATCAGTAAATTTTGCATCTTGTAATCATAGCTTGGTCACATGGCCAGAGTTTTAGAGGCTGTGCCTGGATGGGGACTAGCCACTCCTGCAGCTCTAATATCATCAATCTGTCTGGTCTACAGAAGCCATAGGAGGATGAATACTATGCAAATAACCCCTCAAACTCCATCACTCAAGGCCTCAACATGAAAATAAATCCTTTAGTTAATCCTATGTTTAACTCCACTTAAAAACTAAACACCACATGTACCCCAATACAATATTTAGCCCAACTCTAACTCTAAACTTAATAATCCTAAACAACCCTTATACTACAATTTTAACCCCTCTCAAGCTGTTAATCTTTTAAACACCCTATGTAATTTAACTCGGATGTTAACCTCTCTCAAACCTTAACCCCCCCTTCACCCTAACCACTTCTAACATTAAATGTAACCTTGCATGCATTTACACAACTGCATGCACTCACTATACTTACAGATTAATATACAATACATTAGAAGTAGCAATATGCATATACATACATTTATACATATGTCAAATATGAATATGTTTTAGGCCTGCAATATCCAGTTAATAAATTTAATATACTGTACTTTGCTTTGCGTTAGAGAGCAGTTGGCTCCTTAGAATTATGTGACTGCAGGCCCGTGGCATGTAAAAATGGCCCTGATTGTCAAGTACATCACTGTGTCATTTTCATTTTGCTGTTATAAGTTATGTATTATTAGAATCAGGGTTGTGGGTTATATCACCACATGCAACACTAGATTCACTACTCCTTAATTTTCCAAAACATCTTTTGTCAAGAATGCAGAATTGAAGCAGAAACAGAGGCAAGTTGGTAGAACTGGAGTACATACAGTTGCAGAATTAAAAGTATCAGAATTGGCAAGGTAACAATGGCATACCTGTATAGAATTGAGCTATATACAGGCAGCAGGTAATGTGACAGTGTCGTTTTACAACTGTCTAGCGCCTTGATTGTAAACTAAAACTCTCATAGTAGTGTTTTAAATAAAGTTTTTGCTTTAAAGGACCACTATAGTGCCAGGAAAACATACTCGTTTTCCTGGCACTATAGTGCCCTGATGGTGCCCCCACCCTCAGGGACCCCCTCCCGCCCGGCTCTGGAAAGGGGAAAAGGGGTAAAACTTACCTTTTTCCTGTGCTGGGCGGGGAGCTCTCCGCCTCCGATCCTCCTCCTCTCCTCCCCTTCGGCTGAATGCTCACGCGCTGCACGTGCATTCAGCCGGTCGCATAGGAAGCATTATCAATGCTTTCCTATGGACGCTTGCATGCTCTCACTGTGATTTTCACAGTGAGAATCACGCAAGCGCCTCTAGCGGCTGTCAATGAGACAGCCGCTAGAGGATTTAGGGGAAGGCTTAACCCATTCATAAACATAGCAGTTTCTCTGAAACTGCTATGTTTATAAAAAAAATGGGTTGACCCTAGCTGGACCTGGCACCCAGACCACTTCATTAAGCTGAAGTGGTCTGGGTGCCTAGAGTGGTCCTTTAACATTACCTACATTTATTGGTGAATATTATATAACAATTTTTCTGAGAGCAAAACATTACCATGGCAGACGTTATTAGTATTTAAGATTCTTGGGCAGAATTTAGATTTCAAAACTGTGATTAAAAAGAAACTCCAATTTTCATGTGAAGCTCTCACTGGTCACGGCTGGAAAAATGTTCTGGTAGTATTGTTGAAAAGTGCTTAGAAAACACAATTCCATAATTGGATAACTGCTGAAAACAATCCATGGAAAATATCCATATTTGATGTTAAGACACATATGAATCATTGCAATAACAGAGCCTAAAATAAACCATTAATGTGGAATATATTTCTCTGGAAATGACAACAAATGATTACTATTCAATATCAGTGTACGTCAAACAAGATCTGATGGGCTCCTTGCACTGTTTAGGAAATATGACATTTCAATTTTTTTACAACGGAAACAAAGTGAAAGGAAACACAGGGCCTGTGCAAATCAAGTAAATACGCAAATAATTAAAATGTACTGGAGCTTGGCTGTTTTAATGGCAACATATTAATACACTGAACAAAAAATTATAAACGTAACACTTTTGTTTTTGCTCCATTTTTCATGAGCTGAACTCAAAGATCTAAGACTTTTTCTATGTATACAAAAGGCCTATTTCTCTCAAATATTGTTCACAAATCTGCCTAAATCTGTGTTAGTGAGCACTTTTCCTTTGCCGAGATAATCCATCCACCTCACAGGTGTGGCATATCAAGATGCTGATTAGACAGCATGATTATTGAAAAGGTGTGCCTTAGGCTGGCCACAATAAAAAGCCACTCTAAAAGGTGCAGTGTCGCCACTGCACAATGCCACAGATGTCGCAAGTTTTGAGGGAGCGTGCACTTGGCATGCTGACAGCAGGAATGTCTACCAGAGCTGTTGCCCGTGACTTGAATGTTCATTTCTCTACCATAAGCCGTCTCCAAAGGTGTTTCAGAGAATTTGGTAGTGCATCAAACCGGCCTCACAACCGCAGACCACGTGTAACAACACCAGCCCAGGACCTCCACATCCAGCATCTTCACCTCCAAGATCGTCTGAGACCAGCCACCCGGACAGGTGCTGCAACAATTGGTTTGCATAACCAAAGAATTTCTGTACAAACTGTCAGGAACCGTCTCAGGGAAGCTCATCTGCATGCTCGTCGTCCTCATCGGGGGCTCAACCTGACTGCAGTTCGTCATCGTAACCGACTTGAGTGTGCAAATGCTCACATTCGATGGCGTCTGACACTTTAAAGAGGTGTTCTCTTCATGAATGAATCCCGGTTTCCACTGTACAGGGCAGATGGCATACAGCGTGTATGGCGTCGTGTGGGTGAGCGGTTTGCTGAAGTCAACATTGTGGATCAAGTGGCCCATGGTGGCGGTGGGGTTATGCTATGGGCAGGTGTATGTTATGGACAAAAAACACAGGTGCATTACATTGATGGCATTTTGAATGCACAGAGATACCGTTACGAGATCCTGAGGCCTGTTGTTGTGCCATTCATCCACGACCATCACCTCATGTTGCAGCATGATAATGCACGGCCCCGTGTTGCAAGGATCTGTACACAATTCCTGGAAGCTGAAAACATCCCAGTTCTTGCATGGCCAGCATACTCACCGGACATGTCACCCATTGAGCATGTTTGGGATGCTCTGGATCGGCATATACGACAACATGTTCCAGGTCCTGCCAATATCCAGCAACTTCACACAGCCATTGAAGAGGAGTGGACACAGGCCACAATCAACAAACTGATCAACTCTATTCAAAGGAGATGTGTTGCACTGCGTGAGGCAAATTGTGGTCACATCAAATACTGACTGGTTTTTGGACCCCCGGCACTCCATCAATACAGTAAAACTGCATATTTTAGAGTGGCCTTTTATTGTGGCCAGCCTAAGGCACACCATTGCAAGAATCATGCTGTCTAATCAACATCTTGATATGCCACACCTGTGAGGTGGATGGATTATCTCGGCTAAGGAGAAGTGCTTACTGACACAGATTTAGACAGATTTGTGAACAATATTTGAGAAAAATAGGCCTTTTGTGTACATAGAAAAAGTCTTAGATCTTTGAGTTCAGCTCATGAAAAATGGGGGCAAAAACAAAAGTGTTGTGTTTATAATTTTGTTCAGTGTATTTTCAGAAAATCTAAAGTCAATTTATATTAACAGCGCATGGCTTTTTTCAGTATTATCTTTTAAAAATTTACTTTTGCTTATAAAATAGTATTTCTAATTTAGTAGAGCTTTAAATCTGTAATTCTAATGTAGCGATGTAGGTAAAAAAGTATATAATTATGCTAACACTATAATGTTCTAGTAACATACAAACATTCATGAATATCCAGACATATAATATAAGGATCGCCTGCTGTGCATGTGCTTTATACAAAAATAAAAATTCTAACAGCAAAATATTAAGAAGGGAAGCAATTTCATTCATGCAAAGAACTTTTAGCCATTTGTCTGCATTTTCTCCAAGGAGGACAGCTGTTAGTATGCTAAAATTTCACATATGTTTATGTAAGATATGTTTGTACTTATAAAATGTAATTGATCGTTCATTTGATGCTAGTTTGTTAGCTGTTGTATTAGGTATTGAGTGTCAAAGAGGATCGAGAACTATTTTATGGTTTTGACAGCTGCTGGGTTAATTACTACGGTTGTTCCAAGTTTAAAAATGTACATTTTCTAAAACAACTGTGCTTACCAAATGCTTTAATGACTCAGTTAAATAGATGATTACTCCTTTGCATAACCTCTATGTGTGATCTTTCAAATGAAAGGCTAGTGGTAATGTTTTGGATGCCGTTCAATAGTGAATGCCAGCCTTAGTGTGACTCAACACAAGGTTATCTCCTGCCTCAAATGCTCTAGTATAACCATTGTTTTTAAATCTAAAGAAAGAGGAACCAAACACCTTTAATATTGCTAGGTGAATTTAGTGGAAGAGAATTTAACATAAAAGGGACACTATTGTCATCAGAATCATTACAGCTTAATGGTGTTAGCACTGTAAGCACTGCCTTTTCTAAGAAAATGCAATGTTTACATTGGTGCTTGGTAAATAGAGATAGTCACTCAGGTGGCCACTAGAGTTACTTCCTACTCCAGTGTTGCACAGTGTGCAGCAATGACATTCAGTGTCTTCACGCTGTGCATGATCTCAGCCATGGAGACAGTACCAGCTTTGAGACCGGTGAAGTGTGGGAGAAAAGGTAAGTTTTAATCCTTTCATCCTCATGGAAAGGGGTATTTCTGTGTATTCCTGACACTATAGTGTTCCTTTAACGTAAACATGGACTGAGAAAACTAATATGACCACTATAAATGAAAATGTCTCCATAAAGTGTTTAATTGCATTAAATATACATTAACAATTTACTGCTGTGAGAATTTTCATATTTAAGGTCAAATTAGTTGAACTGGAAACATTCTCAAACTCAGCTAAGCTTTCCATTCAGCTACCTTAATCCTGAATGTGAATTTCCTTTAAATTCCTGACACTTCCCACTTTAGTAAATAACCATGTAAAATAGCTTACTTTATCAGTGATATTCACCAATGTGAGAATTGCCAGGAATCCAAAGCAAATTCAAATTTAATTTCAAATCCGAAGGCCAAAGTAGCCAAACTGAAAACTGAATTGGCTTTCAACTTTTTCTGATTTAGCGACTTTGGGCTATGTAACGGAGCTCCATCTACCCCAGCTGGGTACCTCTGCCATGGACCGCTTCCTAGCTGGAACAGGGGACAAACCACAGTCTGCCCACAGTCGCCATGGCTCGACTGCAGCCCTGGAACCGCTCCTTCCTGGAGCCGAACGTGGAATTAGCTCCAGTGCTTTCAAGGACCCCTGCAAGATGGAACAGCAGACACAGAAGCAAATCTTCTTTCCCTCCAATAACAGGATGACACAGTTTTGGAGTGTAAACTGGAATAGCCCTATAATGGAGGCACACTGGCCCTTCATTTAAGTTTCCCAACAAGGGTGACACCCACGTGGGGCACAGGGACACAAAGTTATACACCAATCACAACAGAGTTACAATCTAAGATACTCCCACACATAATACAATAAGCCTTCCCCTTCCTTAGGAGATAACTGAGTCAAGCTCATACTAAACTCAATTATCTCCAAACACAACAAGCACACATTTTACAAAACCCCAAAAGTACACCAAAAAACACGATATCCCCACTTTTAGGCAAGTCCCCAAGCAAGGTGTACACCCACATGGACCTCGTTGGGGACAGGGCCACAAAGCTTACGAACCAATCAGAACAGTAATTAAATGTATGACACTCCCATAACAAACATACAATCACTCCCCTCTACCTGTGAGATAATCGAGTCAGATACTGTATTAACCCAAATATCTCCAGGCAGAAAAAACCCACATAGAAACATAGAATGTGACGGCAGATAAGAACCATTCGGCCCATCTAGTCTGCCCAATTTTTTAAAATACTTTCATTAGTCCCTGGCCTTCTCTTATAGTTAGGATAGCCTTATGTATATCCCACGCATGCTTAAACTCCTTTACTGTGTTAACCTCTACCACTTCAGCTGGAAGGCTATTCCATGCATCCACTACCCTCTCAGTAAAGTAATACTTCCGGATATTATTTTTAAACTTTTGCCCCTCTAATTTAAGACTATGTCCTCTTGTTGTGGTAGTTTTTCTTTTTTTAAATATAGTCTCCTCCTTTACTGTGTTGATTCCCTTTATGTATTTAAATGTTTCTGTCATATCCCCCCCGTCTTGTCTTTCCTCCAAGCAATACATGTTAAGCGCCTTTAACCTTTCCTTGTAAGTTTTATCCTGCAATCCATGAACCAGTTTAGTAGCCCTTCTCTGAACCCTCTCTAAGGTATCAATATCCTTCTGGTCTTCAGTACTGCATACAATACAGTACATATTTTACAAAGTCCCATAGGTACCCCAAAACCACATAAAATCCCCACAAATATTACATCCCCTGATAGCCCTGATCTGGGTGACCAACATATCCAAAAATCACCCAGATCAGTTCAGAGGTTCAGGAATTCCATGGAAGTCATTTATTTGACCGACCGCAAGCATGGCCCCATGCCCAAAACAGTTCCAGAGAATCAGGGTTTGCGGTTTGTCTTTGTTTGAAAATGAACAAACTACTGAACAGAGTCAATAGTCTTACCCTGGAGCTTGTTCCCTTCATCCAGACGAATGATCCCACCGAACAATGCTCTTCTAACTTGTAAAAAAACAAACGCAGGCGATGATGGAAGTCCAGCGGTGTTCGGGAGTTTCTGTAGCTGATTTTAGTTCCAGGAGATTCATGCCCAAACACCGCTGCCTGCGTTCATGCGAACAAGATGGCCGCCACCTCGTGGTTGCCTATAGGAATTGCGGCCACCCAGACGAACAATTAGAACACTGAGGTGAGAAACATACCAAGTTGTTAACAAGCTCCAGGGTGGTCCCTGTTTGTGCGGTTGTTCGGTAAACGTACCATATAACCCCAATTGCATGAACAGAGACTTTTACATTATTTTCCACAAGGTCCATAGTCTGTGGGCAGGAGGCTGGCAAGCAGGCTTCTCCAGGAGCTCATGGCAAACTCAGGTAAAAAGGGGAGTTTGCCACAGGCTAATTTTTAAATTCCCTTTAATTCTGGCAATTCTTACTTTAGTGAATTACTCTGGCATATGGTTTATTAAGACATGGAAATGTCCTGGTGGATTCTTTGCCAGTGAGTTTGATTTCCTATTATAATCAAATAGTTCCTCATTTTATAGGCACAGTGGTTGGCTATAAAAGAAGATTTGAAGCTCAGATAAAATCATATTTAACAACTGGAAAGTAAAAGCCCAAAAATAAAAGTGAAATGTTTAAACATAGTTTTAGGATGAGGATTGTCCGCGTTTGAATTTTGGTAGGTATAATAAATGCTAAGGTAGGAAATACAATGGATTAGAGAATGAGCAAATCTGAGAAATATGTAGGTCACCGTCTTCCAAACAGCATAAGATCAGTCTAAAACCACATTAATCTTTTAGAAACAGTCCCGGCAGCTGTATATCAAGGTTTCAGTGAGATACTTACATGCATTCTTCGTTGCAAAAAAATGATGCAATAAATGTTATCTCATTGTATGTAGTGCAATACGTTTATAGTTGTACAAACATTGTTATAGCCTGTCGGCTTGTTAGTTGTTTTATATTTCGCTTGATTAATGAGGTGGCATGTTACCTGCGTGCAGTCTGGCATTACATAGCAGACCACACAGAGTCCAACAGGGCATTTATGTGACTTCCACGTTTAGACCGAGGTTGGCTTGTCCTTGCTTTGAAAAGGATAATAGCATGAGCTGTAAATAATCTGATCACTGATAACATAACCCTATAAAAACATAATCACAAAATGATTTTTTTTTAATGTTTTTTATTTCACAGGAAGGCAGGAAGTAAGCTGTTTTTGGATCATAGAATGGATTTAGCATTCTTTGGCAGTAAAACAAATCATTGCTCACTGTTTATCAGTAACCGAATGTTGCTGCAATAGTACTTTGGCCTGCCTACTCACCAGGAGGTAATTGTTTATTGTGTCTCACCTGGCAAAGAGTGAGATATTTGCCAGACTGTGATATCATTGTGTAGTTCATGAGATTTGTTTTTGTTGGACAAAAAAAAAAATATATAAATAAACATGACATACTTCATCTTTAGCTCATTGCGTTGGAAATAACACACGTATGATTATTTTTATTGGCAAATACAAGTGTGAAAAATATATTTTAAAAAGATCTGGAAACATGTGCTATAAAACACAAAACACACCCTCCCCCATTAGTACATACCCTCCCCCCATGTTAGCGTGTAATGAAATAATACTTTTTAAACCATTTTATTTTATTCTGGTATAATAAAAATATTAATTTATACATGTTGTATGTTTTAACAACCATTGAGCATATGCTGCAACAGAAAAGCCTGCGAAAAAAAAAAGAAAAGCCTGCGACAGAAAAGCCTTATCAGGGGCCCAATATGCCAGAAAACCTCTATTACAGGGTTTGCAGAACAATGAATAATGCAGTGATAATGTAATATTTATTGTGTTCATGCTTAAGATTATTTTTTATGTAAAACATGCAGATTCAGACTATCTCAACAATTTTAAAGAACATTGTCAGGCTAGAATTCAGAGTAGCATACGTTGAAACAAAAGGGCTCTTATGCGATTGGGGTTTATAAAATCTCTGTTTTATAGATCTAGTGCTAGATTCTTTGTATATCTCTGGGAATATAGTTCTCCACTTGCAGAGCAGGGAATAACATGATGGAAGAATACTAATACATTCCTAAACATGTACAAAGCAATGCCCATACTGGCACAAAGCCCAAGTCCTGTTATTAAAGGACCACTATAGGCACCCAGACCACTTCAGCTCAATGAAGTGGTCTCGGTGCCAGGTCCATCTAGGATTAACCCTGCCTGCTCTAAACATAGCATTTTCAGAGAAACTGCTATGTTTACATATGGGTTAATCCAGCCTCTAGTAGCTGTCAGCCGCTAGAGGCGCTTCCGCGCTTCTCAATGTGATTTTCACAGTGAGAAGACGCCAGTGTCCAAAGGAAAGCATTCCGGCAAGAGCCGCGCACATTCAGTCGATGAGGACCGAAGGAGATGGAGAGTCCCCAGTGCCGAGGGGGAAAGCGGGAGTGGAACCCCGAGGGTGGGGGACCCTCGGGGCACTATAGTGCCAGGAAAACAAGTTTGTTTTCCTGGCACTATAGTGGTCTTTTAATTGAACCTCTCTTTTAGGAGGCAAACGCCTCAGTGATATTTCTCAAAAAGGCACTGTGTAAAACGAGATGATGAAGAGTGAAGCAAATTGCATTGCTTATCCATTGTAAATGTGTCTGTCTTGTACAAAAATAGGATGTAGTTACTAACCGCGTTAGAAGCTCATTGGTGGACTTTGTATACATTGCTTTAGCCAGTTGACCAGATTAGATATGTTGCTGGTCATTTCTATAACATCACAGTGATATATAGTTTGTGTATAAACTGCTTTTTGGGAGTTTTATTTGCCTTCTAGAATAGTACATACTGAATTTGTAGAGAGTAAGATTATACAGAGACCCAGTTTTCCTAAATGTTGACTATAAAGCTGCCTTACAACAATATAGCTCAAATAGATCAGAATACATTAAAGGAAAACTAAAGTACTATCATCTATACCTAACACTACAGTCCTGAAGTGGCTGTTTATGTCACCAGCCCCCTCAGATTGCTGTGAAAATGTATTTTACTCACCTTTTCTCCCTCGCTGTGCTGGTCTTGTCACGGGTGGCACTGCCTCCATGGCTGAGTTAATCAATCTTGATGATCTCAGCCAATCCAAAGCTTTCCAATACGATAACATTGGGAGGCAATTGTGCGTGCGTGGCAAAATGGCGCGTCAATCAGCATCTTCTCATAGAGCTGCATTGAATCAAAGCATATCTATGGTGAGTGTTCAGCGTCTACATGCAGAAAAGACAATGTTTACAATGAAAAGACTGCTGGTATGGGATATAGACACTAGAATGACTATAGTAAGCTGTAGAAGATCCAGTGACTATAGTATCCCTTTAAAGAGAGATATGAGATAGGTGCCTCACCGCTCATCCTTCCATAGCGGAGCATGAGTAATTGACATATACAGAAACTTTGGAAATCAAAATGATACTGTGTATCAGAACAGGATCAAATAGTACACTGACTGCAGTCTGCTCTTTTAAATATCTAGGTATGTTGCTAGACCCCAATCTATCCTTTGGCCTTCACACTGAAAAAATCTCTTCAAACCTTTACCCACAACTAGGTGCCCTGTACAGAAACAAATCCTGCCTATGCTCTACAGTAAGGAAACAGTGCAACAAATGCTAATGCCGGTCATTGATTATGGGGATGTAGTGTATGCACCCGCACCGCAAGCCCACCTTATTAAACTTAATACATTATATAATTTGTTCTGCTGGTTTTTACTAGAATGTAATTACTTTACCCACCACTGTGACATGTTAAAAATGCTAAACTGGCTATCGCTGGAATCCCAACGCACTCTTCATCTTTCCAGCCTTGTGCATAAGAGTATTTCTGGGAAGCGCCCACCCATCTGGAGTAGAATGGTCTCCCCAACTGTTCCGACCTCCTATAACCTCCGATCCAGTACTAACACGATATTTAGAATACTGCAATACAAAAATAAAGTGGCTTGATCCTACTTTTCCTACAGAACACCGCAACTATGGAATAATCTCAAGGACACCATCAAATCTTTTAAGAGATCTATGGCAATATACCTCAGCACAGAATGCACCTGTCATGGTTGATTACATTTATTACCTGTTATGTATTACATTTATATATGTGTGTATGTGTATATATATTTATCGTTTGTATATTGTATTTTTTGTAATATTGTATACTATTGTAACAATGCAATGTTTTGTGGACTCAATACAAACTTGAAAACGAGAGAAATCTCAATGTATCCATCATGGTAAAATATTTTATAAATAAATAAATACATTTGTCTTCAGTATAAGGAGACAGTGCTTGGTTACCAGAGACTGGGCTGACACGATTAGTATGTTTTATTATGCAAACATTAAGCTGTTTAGAAGAGATAAAAGGCAGATAGCAACCATTTGAAAGTGTTCATATTTTATAAAAACATATTCTGGGGGAGACACAATTTGCCAAGGTCAGGTGTGAAAGTAAAAACAAAAACAGTATAAGAAATACTGGCAGAGTAAATATAGCATCTTCCCTAATCTGAATCCTCCATCCAGCTCTCACGTACATTGACTAATGGTCTACTTATGAAACGAGTCATAGCTGAATGAATGCTCCATTACAGTCGAATGATATTTCTATATTGGTAGTTACAAGTCTTTATTCCACTCTTTTTTCCCCATTGTCTCAGTGTGTAAGGGTGGGACATAATTTACAAAAAGATAGGTATACTATGTAAGTCAAATAATTATTTATGTTTGTTGATTGATTGCACTGTCTTTCCTACATTAACATACGTATATTGAAGCATAGCCAGCATGTGCCACTGTACAAATCAATATAGAAATGGCAGTTTAATGAGTGACTAATGGAAGTGACTAATGTTTGTGTGGGACATTGACAAGGGACTTTGTAGATATTTGTCTAGTGTCTAGGCATTATTGTATAGTAAGAATTGTGCTTTCTTATTTACTACTTGTTCTGAGTCACCAGTTCTGTCATTCTGTAACCACAGTCCAAAGTCCATAACTAGCACAGTAATATCCTTACAAGCCCATGTTGGACCCATGGCTTGTGAAAGTAGTTTCTTCAAACTAAAAGTATTTCACAGCAAAGCGACATTAGCTCTCTTTTTTGTACCCTTCCCTTGTGCAATGTTTTCCAGCCTATTAAGAAATCATCCTCAAATCATCATCAACTACTCATCCAACTGCCATATTGTATAGTTAAAGACATACTATAGTTCCAGGAATACAAAGCTGTATTCCTGGCACTATCACAACCCCTCCCTCACACTTCCCCCTCCCTGGCAAATGGATTTAAAATTTTTTTATTTACTTGCCTTATCCCAGCACTGATGTCCCTTGGAGCTGGGCTGATGGTCCACCCCCTCCGACATCCAGCAACAAATGGGCTGTAATGCGCATGCACAGCAAATGCCATGCACGCGCTAGACCTCCCCATAGGAAAGCACTGAATCAATGCTTTCCTATGGGGAAAACTATGACTCTGGATGTCCTCATGCAGAGCTTGAGGACATCCAGCATCAGATACCGGACCAAAGGTCTGTTTCAATTCAGGAAGCCCTCTAGTGGCAGGGCAGACAGAACTGCAATGTTTGCTGCACATTGCAGTACTATGTGCACATTGCTGCAAATTGCACTACTATGTGCAAAAGGGACACTGCACCGAGACCACTTGAATGAGCTGAAGTGGTTTGGGTGCCTACAGTGCCCCTTTAAATATTAAATATGTATATTATGTATATTACGTAGATAATTTATCATTGGATTTTTTAACAACTTCCTATTCCAGTAACTTCAGTTGCTTTAATAGATTTGTTATGATTTTGTAAAAAATAATCTTTATACTCTCACTAATTATAACTTGATAATAAGTATACACAGTATA